GTTGACTCAGCCTTCCATCCTTCCGAGGTGGGTAAAATGAGGACCCGGATTGTTTTTGGGGGCGATATGCTGACTCTGTAAACCGCTTAGAGAGGCCTGAAAGGCCTATGAAGCGGTATATAAGTCTACTGTTATTGCTATTATTATTATTTTTGTCATTTTGTTTTGATGGGTCTATGGAGTTTCTCTTTTGCAGGAGCTTTGATGAGCATAAAATCCGGGGGCAAAATACAAGAATTTGTGCTGCTGTTTTCTGCATTTGATGAAGGTAAGAGAAGAATGGGGGAGGAAGTAGAGGGGGGAAAACATGTTTATGCCCCCCTTGTACTTGTGTTTTTATTCTGTGGAATAAGGTCATCAGCAGTGAATATACCTTTCTGTAGGATTTAGTCTTCACTTGTTCCTAATGCGTTTAATTCTTCGTGTCCAACCAACATCCTAGATTACATCTCTTGGTTAGTTGCATACTATGGTACAGTATCTAATTTAGCAGATTCTAAGGGAATTCAGTTTTATTTTAGTTTAAGACTGGCTTCTACACTTCATAAGGTACAGATCTGGACAGAAAGACAAGATACCAATTACACAGTTTATGGCTAAACTGCAGTCAGGACTGTTTTTCTTTCAAAACTAAGTCATCTGCAGCTGTAGGAAACTGATTATAAGTTCTACCTGAAAAGGTTTAGTCTCGATGTCTAATTCTGATTTTCCTATAATGGGCCCGAACAGTGGATAATGGTGGCCTCTTTTCTTGGTGATTTTGAATTCCTTGAACTAAACTCTATTACTTGCTTTCCCCCCCCCTCTCTCTCTCCCTCTCTCTCTCTCTCTCTCTTTCTCTCCCTCCCTCCCTCCCCCCCTCTCCCTCCCTTCAACGTCTCCATCAGACAAGAGCTGGTATTCTTCTTCTCACATGAGAGGAAATGCAAAACCTCCATTGACTCAACCTCAGTTTCATACTATCAATGGGTTCACTCATTCTTCTCTGCCTGGTAAGTCTGGCAAAAAGGACACCACATTTTATAAACCATGTCAGCCATTACATGAAATTGGCAATAGGCCACATATATGACATAGATAGATAGAGATAGATAGATATAGATAATAGATGAGNTTCTTTCTTTCTTTCCTTCCTTCTTTCCCCCTTCCTTCCTTCCTTCCTTCCTTTGACTTTCTTTGTCAAACATCTACAAGATAACAAGTATAGATATGAACAAAAACATGAACGCATGTCCACCACAGATGGTAATATGAGCCAGGTGTCTGGTGACATTTCCAACATTTAGCAGAAGGGGGGTTCCTACCGGTTCGGCCCCATTCAGCTGAATAGGTAGTAACTTGGCAGCCTGGGTCGCTGGAACCGGTAGCAACCCAGGCCTGCCACGCCCCCTAACGGATTTCCTACAGCTCTTCAATCTTGATTTTCGGTGCCTGCACAGAACAATTTTCATTGCAGAAATGTATTTTTCTTCTTTTTTAACTTTTGCGCATGCACAGACAATTTTAGATGCCGATGCGCTCGTGCATGGAGCGTGCATTTGGCCTGTGCATGAGCAAAGCTAGCGTGCACGTGCAAAACATTTTGCACGCCAAACCAGCAGTAATGCTGGCAGCAACCCACCCCTCATTTAGCTGAATTATTTTTAACCATCTTCGCCAGTCTTGCCGGTGGCTTCCTCCTTCCGAGGGCCCAGAGAAATCGACTGGCCCAAGGACACCCAGCTGGCTTTGTGCCAAAAGCAGAACTAGAACTCAAAATCTCTTGGTTTCTAACCTTAATCACGACCCCAAACTGTTTCTCCCTGTACTGATTTACCGCTCCTGAAATGAAACTCAAAAGCCACAGGTCCCCTATTATTTGTTTTGCAGTTCCTCTTAAATGCCCGGATTTCCTTGGCTGGTCTGAGTCACCTTAGAGAGAAACTCTTGGAAACTTGCCTGCTGGCCAAGTCTGTCTCTTAGCAGGCTTGGACGTCTGACCTCTGATAGTTAGTAGCCCTCCCAGGTTTCCAGTGCTACTGGTAACAAGCTCGATATGCTTGGCTCTGTTAACTGCTTCCCTCCTACCTGCTCCCCCGTGTAAATTAAATGTTGGAGAGCCGAGCATGATGAAATCCGACGTCAACCTTGGAGAAAGGTTAGAAAGTATATTTTTAAGATATTTCTCTCCCTGGGCACCATGAGAATATATTGGCTGAACAAAACTCTGCATTGACGACAGGAAGAGCACCCGGCCATTAAACCATTCTGCTTCCTCCATTCAGTTGCCCAGATTCTACTCTGCAAGCGATGATAGGCTCGTTACAATATGATGATCATGATGAAGAAAGGAAGCATTTCAGAAGGAAGCAAAATACCATTGCCAGGAAAATTGCAGGATTGTGACTATGGAGCAGAAAGCAAACAAAGCAACATGAAAGAGGGGTTGCTTTGACACATCATTGTATTACACACAAACTGTCTCCCTTTTCTCTTCCCAGTTCTTTCAGCCCTCCCCAACCTGGTGTGATACCCCTCCCCCACTCCAAACCTGGGGCCGTTGGGTCATAAGGGGTGAGGGTTGTCTGAGTTGAAGTCCTCCTAACCAAGCTGATTGGCCACCATACTCTTTTAACGACCCCATAATCCCTTGCAGGATGGAATCTGGGCAACTGAATGGAGCTGAGTGGTTCCTGGCCGGATTCCTTTCCTGTCGCCGATGCGGAGTTCTTTTTTTTCAGCAGATAAATTCTCATTGTGCCCAGACGGAGAAATATCTGCCTCTGCCTAGGATTGAACTCACAGCCTCCGGATCGTGAGGCGAGAGCTGCACCTCTAGGCCACCGCGCCACTCATGCTGATCAACAACGCGAGATTTGAAATGCAGAGCCCCGCCTGCATTTGGCCACAATTTTCTTCTTTGACCAACTCTTTTTAATTTCTTAGGTTGTCTTCCTCCGCCCCAGGACCTCAATACAAAAAGGCAATTTATTTGGAATACACAGATTCTACGTTCAGAGAAGTAAAACCCAAACCTGCTTGGATGGGTAAGCTCAGGAGTCTTTTTTTGCTTATGACATTCTCACTTGGGGAATCTTACTGGAGTTATTCCTCCACTGAAAAATGTCTTAGGTTGATTGATTGCTTTAATAAGGACTCCATACAACTATCTTAGGAGACTATTGGGGAACCGGAATTGGTCCAAAATATATTACCTTACTAGCCGATAACTCGGCATTGCGCCGGTATTTATTTATAGGAGGGAAATATCTGGACCCAACGTAATTTCTAATGTTGGATTTTCCCCCTTACCAGAGGGAGCCCCCTTGTGGAGTACTGTGAAGCCATAGCCATGGCAACTCCACTGCACTGTACAGTAGAAGTCATTTTACGGCAGTACAGTAGAATCCATTTTAAGGCACAACAGGATGTATCTTAATACACACCCCTTAATCTTACCTCCCTCAGTATTTGTTTCCAGAGAGTAAGTCATCTTTGTAGGAAGTTTGGTTGAAATTCCTCGAGGCATTCCAGAGTTATGCTGGAACACACACACACACACACACACACACACACGTATGTATGTATGTATGTATGTATGTATGTATGTATGTATGTATGTATG